ACTAATAACCATATCTTTACAGATTCATAAAGTCTGAACTGAACAATAAAAACCTGATTAGAAAGTCGTTTCTCCAGAGGAATATTTGCATTCTTCAACCTGTCCAACTCTCCTTTGGCCCATTCAAGTAATTCCCGGTGATAGTTGTTCACTGCAGACGTACATACTGATGCGAACAACTCTAAACATGAATCGAAGCATCTAAAAACAATCAATTTTTCAGTTAATATCATTTCAATCTTTTCTACTATTTCACACTGTCCATGCTTATGATCTTGAGTCCAGCCATTTAACGAAATTGAGGATAAAAATCACAAAAAGGCACTATGACGCTCCTTAACTTTTGTGATATCTGTTTAAAACAATGTATCCATCTAATCAATTCTACTTCAAGAAGCCGCCATTTTATGAATTCCATCAATCTAATCAGTTCTGGAGTTGCTTCATTCAAATGTCTTCTTCTTTCACTGAATCAACTAATAAAGGATATTCTTTTGAATGAACAAGCGTAATTCACTCACAATTGCGAATCTTCTTCAACGAGCCACATCAACGCCGCACACATCAGTGAGCACTCAAAACATTTCAAATCTAAACTCGTTATCGTATCGGCATCTGCATCGTAGCACTCACGTAAAAGACAATGCCATTTATCGTAACATTCCACCATATCTTCAATATATTCATCAGCTTTGAATGTAATTAATCGTAGTTAATGAACTGTCTCATTCAACCGTATTCGTTTGATCTATTTGCTAAAGATATTTGTTCTTATAGCGTTTGTCCTTATAGCTTATAGCGCTATGAAAATGAAACAAATCGATTAAAACTACAAAATACGAAGTATCCTTACTGGTCGCACATGTTTTCCATTGCTTAGACGGTGCACCGACGGAAAGCGGCAACGACGTGAAATTTCTAGTGACAAGAACACGTCGCAGCACTGCTAACGTTGAACGTAGACAATTGACATAACGTTCACAGAACCAGAAACAATGCCACCATGTCTTTTTTACGCATAACATCTGAATAAGTAACTGCTATCGTAATGCATCATGATTATATGATCAAAATCTCATGAACGAATAACTAGATACAAGCCAAGTCATAACTTGGCTCAGGCTAGATAACACCAATAATCATTCACGTTCAAGTAAAGTTTTTCCCCAACAGAGCGACTTGAACCCTCGACGTACCAATTTCCAGTCAAATGCTCTAAATCCGAGATGTTGCATTGACTCTCCAGCCTCCAATGTTTATGAATTTGGCTTGTATCTATTTATCTATTCAGGTGATTACGATTGCGAATAGACCATTTCGTTTCAATTGCAGCTCTGTATGCTCATTAGATTAGTATCATATGATGTGCGTTGGAGAACTGACTGCAAAACCCTTCGGTAGAGGCTGAACGTATTGGGTTTAAGACTCACTCATGAGAGGAACGATCAAATTATTATACGCCATTTTTGGCGTTCTATCGTAACATGCATCTGTCAATCAGACCATGAACTCACCTCAAGTGTACAAACAGCATGATCATAATTGCTGATTGCATTCTCCAACTCGCTAACTTTGAACTCTCCAATAGCAGCCTTACAAATCGACTTCAGGGCAGACAGCCACAAACGATTCTCCGTATTCGCAGCCTTAAAATAAGGTGAAAGCTTATCGAAGCGTTCATCCTGAATGAATAAGATAAGCACGAAATTCAACCAAACTATAACTGCAACAAATCACTTTCAGTGGTGCTGAGTATCAGAAAAGAAAAAAGAGATAATACTGAACTGTTCGATCAAAACAATAAAAAATTCAGGCAAAATAAATTAAGCATAAAAAACTAACTCACGCTAAATTCAATGCTTTCAAGAATCGGCAACGCAATACTCCTCAAATGTCCATTGCGCATCGCAGTTCTTGCAACTAAATAATTTGTCCATGCGTTCTTTCCCCAAATACTCGAACGATCCAATGATATTTCATCGATATTCACTCCAGGCGCATAGATTAATCGAGCGAATAACTTAAACACAGTGCATTATGCAATAAAGTGAGTGATGCTTTAAATTTTGATTTTTTTTTTCAAAAAAGTAACGAGTAAATGAAAGAACATTTCATTAATAC